TTTAGTTTTTTTGTTGTTAATAGTAAAGCTACAGTAAGTAGGGGGGGGGGGGGAAGTTCTAAATTAAAGTGTGTTGGTGGTTTGAATTAAATTTAAAACACCTCTAAACTTGCTTGCCCAGTCTTTATTATTGTAAAGCTACCAAGGCTATCACTAACTATTGACTAGGACAACTGGTTGGCTACTCAAGTGTTAAATAGAATAAATTTACTCAAGATAAACATGTAGTAAATCAAAAATATTTTGATTTTATTGCCATTATCTCTACATCTTGTGGTATGTTTTGTATATATGTATTGAAACACGTGTTAATAATGAAAGATTATCACACCATTTGTATTTTTGAGTTATGTATTTACTAGTTTTATCATGTTTGATGTCACTTGTACATAACTACTTAAGGTAGTTAATGAAATTTTGTATAAAATTCACACAACAGCGACTCTTGTTGTTAAAGTGGGTGGAAGGGGGGGAAGAGAAGCATTTTTGATAAAGAAACAATAATATTCAACTCACCCTCAGGTAGTTTAGGGTTGAGTTTGTTAACCCTTGTCTAGTGATGTTTTTCGACAATTGTTCTATTATAGATGGATCTTGTTGCTGAGTCTGAAAACATATATAACAAACCAAAACTATTTTTTTTGGCAGAAGTAAAACACTACTATTACCCACAGTTGTTTATAATAATTACAGCCAACAGTTTGTATAACACACTCTCTTTCATTGTTGTCAATATTAATATACCCTATTTGTGTAATCACATTACTGCACAAATTATTATTGACCAAAAAATTTAACCAAGTCTTTTGTTCAGATACTCTGATCAGAATCTGGTAACAACAACAAAAAAATTTGCTTACTACACCCGTTCTATAAACATGTTGCAAAGTTTATTCACAAATTAATAGACAATATTGTAGTAATTACTGCATAGTACACAAATGTTTCAATACCAATGTTTGAAGAGAAAGAAAAACAAGGAGAGACAAAGAAATACTAGATCATGTGACAATGAAGAAGTGAAAACAAACGATATGTTATTAAGATCAAAATAGTTGAAGAACCAAGTCTAAAGTTATGTTTTCAGCAACAGAAATCTTCAGTTACTCACACTTTATCAATAATAAGTAAAAGTACCCATCCCCAGTGACAGGAAAAGTTCAAGTTTAAAAAGAGTAATATATAGTTGAAAATAAATCATTAATATTACGTACACACTACTTGCAATAACAAATACACTTTGTAAATATATGTACATATGAACTTCATATTTCCATATTCTAAATAATTTAATATCATTATTTACATGTTTCCATGTTGTATTTAGAGTTTTTCTTTACACTCTTAAGAATTCCCTAACATCTTTCACAGAATTCAAGAAAATCACCAACAAAAAACATGGTTGCTGATGTAATTTTACAAGAGTGAATAAACCTCGTAATTGTAGTATCCAATTATTGGCTGATAGAAGAAACATTGCCGAGAATATAGCCATTGCATACATGACAAGTAACCAGACACACGTTAGTTTGTTGTACGACCAAAACAATCTGCAGGACACACTATTAACAGGAGTGATAGTTTAACATAGCCATTGCATACATGACAAGTAACCAGACACACGTTAGTTTGTTGTACGACCAAAACAATCTGCAGGACACACTATTAACAGGAGTGATAGTTTAACATAGCCATTGCATACATGACAAGTAACCAGACACACGTTAGTTTGTTGTACGACCAAAACAATCTGCAGGACACACTATTAACAGGAGTGATAGTTTAACCGATTTTCTGTAGCTCAGATAGTGGTAATCCAAACTATCACATATATTCAGTGGATGTGCTCTACTGGACCCTTACTTCACATAACAAATTTCAAGGCAATCCATTAAGAAATACAAGATATAAAATCTCCAATTTTGATTGTGTTTCTCTCCTCCGCCTCTTTTTCTTTCCCCACACTGAAAGTACAGAAACTTTATTTGATTGAAAAACAAACATACTTGAATTTCATGGATTTTTTCAAATTTGGTTCACCGATAGATCTTTACAACCTACAATTAAGTGTCAAATTTGGTCTAAATATAAGCCATACGTGCAAAATTATTCAACAAAAACTGCTCAGTTTTAACAATGTTTTGGGCACACCTTTGGGTTAAAGAACAGCCAATTTAGAGCAGCAAAACTGTAGAGTTAAAGCACATGCAGATAGATACTCAACTATTGGTTAGGTCAAGCAAACTAGATTAGCAGTTTCTAGTTCAAGTTTTCAAAAGAACCATATGGGTGGATGGTTAATATTCACTGCTAACTTTCAAGTAATAATTTTCTAAATTTGATTAATTACTCCTAATTAAAGTATGTTAGTATCATATGATACTAGCTTAAGCAATTAGCATAAATAATGATGCTTGATACAGCTGTACCGAACGCATGCGGGTGATGACAAGAAACTGTTTCCATGGCATTAATGTAAAGGGAAATTATTAACAGTTTTAGTGAAGAAAAACTACCACCATATATTTCAAAGAATCTGGTTAGTTCTGTTTTGAATAAAGTTGCGATCCTAAAGCTAATGTTGGTCACTATCAAATGCCACTGTGGTTTGTATTGACAAAGACTCACAATATCTAATCAAAAGCATGCAACTTAATGAATGAAATTAAAATTGGCAGCCAAACTGGTAGCTACACTTGTACCATCGAAAAGAATTTTGCAGCAAATATTCATTCATTAGTTAGCTAGGCTGCACATTTTGTTTTACCCATAATCATGCCCCAAGTTGAACAAAAAATGTGGCCTGGCTAACTAATGAAGGAATATTTTCCATCAAATTATTATCAATGCTACAAGTGTAGCTACCAGTTTAGCCACCAATTTTGATTTCATTCTTTTAAGTCGCATGCTCAATCCTTTTTCTGGCTGCACCTTTTTTTTTTTTCACCCAAGGTGTTTATGATTAGATATGAGGAAGCTGGGAAATCTAACTTTTTCTCACCAGCACAGCAACAATACCAAATTGATTCAACTTTTTCTCACCAGCACAGCAACAATACCAAATTGATTCAACTTTTTCTCACCGGCACAGCCACAATACCAAATTGATCCAACTTTTTCTCACTAGCACAGCAACAATACTACACAGAAATTGTTATTTTCTTACCCAAATAGCAAGAACATTACATAACCAGTCGTTTTCTTACCTGCAAGGCAACAACGCTACGTGGGACCAGTTCTCTGTGTGCTCGGGTCGCAAAATGCCACGACTTTATCCTCATCAGGTCATCAAAAGTAAATTCCAGAATCAATCTTCCTTCTGTACAAACCTGTCATAGCAGGGTAAAATTATATAAATATAGACACTGAACAAAGTTTGTACAGGAAACTTTACTTATGGCTACAAAATTGGAAACTTTCTTGACAAATGTTATTATGACAGAAAGCTCCGTATTTCTGTGCTCCAGATAAACGTTTGACATAATTTTTTTTATTTAATTCATCAAAATAAATATCAATGCTGAAAAATTTCCAACACCAGATATTCTGGCACTGTTTTACTGTGTTTACTCTTTGTATTTTAATATTAACGTCCTATTGAGAAACACGAGAGGCAATTTCAGCAGAAATTCAATACAGTGAGTGTTTTGTTGATATTGATAGATAAAATTACACTGGTATAATTTTCAGTTCAACAGTAATTCTGAGCTACTGGAGTTTCCCAAACCAAAACCACTGTAATAACATTAGTAATTTTATTTTATTTTCCTGCAAATAAAAGAACCAAACAAACAGATAAAAGTGTATTAACACTTTCTCTACCACTCCAATTGGTACTTTTTGCCATCTTTTAATAATTCTATATGACAACATCTACGTTTCTTATTGTACACAAGCAACAAATAGAACTTCATTTATCCTATGACGCAGGATTTCTACTTAATGAAAGTTGAAAAAGACCGAAGCTTGAGAAACTTGCTAAAATTAATAAATAAAATTTAAAAAAAAAAGTTAATCACTACACTAATATTCTAGAAATGGAAATCATTCCTCACAAGGAACTGTCATTAGGCTTAGCAAACAGAATGGAAGAAACTTAATTCTAGTTTATTTACTTGTTTATTGATTTTTAAATCACAGATCTATTTAAATCTTTTGTGGCCAATGGCTCTTTACAATGGCTAAGCTGAAGAATCTAGAGGCAAAAAAACAAAGAATAAAATTTGACATTAACAAAACTATACATAATAAACATATGGTACAAATATAATCAAATCAGGTATACCAGTTTCTGGAACTTTCTTATACGTAAATGGATGAATACAAAGTTATTCACTGAATATACTTACCACAATAGCATTATCTTTAGCATACTGTTCTTTCATGGGATCGTTAGGGTACTGGCCACCAACTAGACCCTGAAAAACAAAATCCAAATATTTACGCATTTCTAGAGTACCTTAAATTGTTTAGTAGGAAAATGTTAAGAGGTATACAAAACCAAAACTGCAGTAAAAAATTAAGTTTATTAAATAAAAATAGCCAAGATCAAACTATGTATATTAAAGCTTTACATACATAGTTTTTTTTTACTTTACTTACAAAACCACTTAAGATAACCAATTACTGCTATATATTCATGCATGTGACAGTATTAGTTTTCTTAGATGTTAACCAACAGAATTTTTTTTTAAAGGAGTATTATTCTGAATCAAATAAATGTTAATACTTTGTCACACAAGAACAAACACAAGCTGCTGGTTTGGTTCTATTCACTGTATCTAATATATAAATTATATTAATTATTGAAATTAATTAAACATTTGAATACCCAAATTGTTTTTTTTTTTTAAATAACAAAGTATGTTTTAAACTAAATTGTAAGTAATTATGGGGAAAAAAAAATTATATAACAATTTACTAATTACAAGAAAAACCTAGTAAAGTTCAATTTCATAAATCACAGACCAAGATTAAATTTTCACAAACACATTTTACTTCATTCTTAAAGAATTGTTAAATTTACCAATAAAACATTAAAATATGCTCTGTAACCTAGCGATAAGAACTTCATGAAAACAAAGACAAAAAAACAGTCACAATACTGTAAAAGCATACATTTTGTTTGCCAGCATATCATCTGGCAGAGCAATCTGGTTCTTATCATGAACCACAATAGTAGTTTGTAACAGGGATTGCAAGAAATTGCACAAAACCCTAATAGAATGTTAGAGCAATAAGCACTTTAAACAGTAAAGACTCAGTTCAAACAACACTTTAAAACCTTTATTATTGATTGCCAAGGCTGTACACATACAAAAATGCACACAAAAAAAAGCCTGTATGTTAGACTTACAAGGAATAGAAAATCTGCTCAAAACGGCCCGTTTATAATTCTCTTGCCAACCTACAACAAAAAAAAGCTTGGTATATTGCACCCAAACCTTTTGTAGAATACTAAATGAGGTACTGCAAAGGTCGTAGAGGAACATAAAAAGTTTTTATTTGTTTCTTATATATTTTACACAAGTTAGTGTAAATGAGGTTATAATTACCCTTTAAAGTTAGCTTTCTTACAAATATCTAGTATTCCTTTATAAATCTTAAGTACAGGGTGAAACAGGAATTATCAACCATTAATAGATGAACATTAGGTGATTGTAACATGTAGATACTCAATGCTTTGTACACTATACAATTGGTGTCTTTAGGGAGCCAACCCTTATATTATGTATAAAGTGAAAGAGTAAATAAACATCAATACACATAATATCAAGTATTTTATTACACACATTTGTAGAATAATTACTTTAAAAGAAACGAAGGTTTATTTAAAGTGATGTTTTAGGCATATATGTTTTATTTAAAAAAGCTGCTTTTCTACTGGTAAAATTTTATATGAACCAAATTGGGGTTGTGTCTTAGCCTAGGCATATATTTACCCGTTACTATATATTTTATAAAGAAAATTTAGTTACACAAACTATAAATGCTCATTATATTTATAAACAAATCTCCATGACAATCTCCAGCTGCTGCTTAACATTTGACATCTCAAACTAAGTCGATCAAATAGTCAATAGTTACAGTAATTCATCATGAACCGTATCAGCTAATTACTAGCCATATTTATCATCATTACAATGTATAATGTTATCTATGTTATCAAGCAATCCTTTGCCCAAAGTTAAGCATAAAGAGAAGCAAATGAGACGGGATACATTGTAGACATTATCTACTCAAACTACAAATTCCTATTTTGACTCCACCAAATGTAATTATAGGTAACAGCATAGAGCCAAAACTGGGGTTTGTAGTTTGAATAGATGATGTGTACAATATCTCCAGCCTTGTTTTCCTTACCCTTTATGATACCTATTTGCAGGTTTTTAAATTCCCAATTTTGTTATTTATTTTTTTGTATTTATCTTGCTTGATTTCTTTAAATCATGTAAGCACCACATTGCTGGAATAAAGTTTGTTTATGGTGCATGAGATTTTACTGTATGAAGTTACAGGCAGGTGGATATAAAGATATGTATATGGGAAGAATATAATATATATTACATACTAACATCATGAGTGTACTAACTGATTGGATGTCATGTGAATAATTGTCATTATTTACATTTGCTGATTCAATTTTACAGAAATATATTTTAAATTATCAAGTCTGTTACTTCATGCTTAAAATGTAACTTCTGAAGTTATTAAAAACCTACAGCCACCATGCAAGACTATGACAAGTTAAGAACTAAAGTAGACAAACATCCATCATGTTAATACCTCAGCATCTAAAAGTTTATTGGTGATAAAACTAATTCAAACTAACATATGGCAGAATCAACACCTAAAAATTAATATTTTAACTGAGGAATGGTGATACGTTAAAGAAATTGAATTGGAACACATAGCAGAAATATTATTGTTCTTGACTAAACCTTTACCAACGTAACCAATAAACTAGTGGGGTTTTTCCTACTAATACAAAATCAAAGGATCACAGCTTAGCCTAACTTTTAGGAAAGTCATTGCCATGATGAAAAACTTATTAATTTAGTTCCAATTAAAAAATTTTAGTCTTTAAGACTGTATGAGCAAAAGTTAAAAATTATCACACCATACATTTCATAATTGACAATATGATGTTACACTGTTACTACACAAACTCTTTTGGACACCAAATTGGACTGGGATTTTAGTAAATAACAAATAATTAATATATTAGGGTAAACAATTTCATAAGTATTTATGAAAGTCATTGAAAGTTCTACCAAGTTAATCATTGAAGTGGCTCTTGTTTTTTTTTAGGTTTTCTTTTGGGAATCTTCTAATCAAAATATAATTATGCATATGTCTGCAAGTGTAAGTGCAAAAAGTTTTAATTAATCATTAAATCAATGTACTACTTAATTGAACACAAGTTATCTATGATAGTAAATCTAGTACTTGTTTTTTTTTTTGGTGATGGATGACAGTTATTTTACTAAATACAGTTTTATTTGTTTTTAACGTTAGCTGATCAAAAATGTGTTATTATTATTATTCCTTAAACTTGCACGATAGCCCACCCAAAGCTTGCATTACTGTAAACGAGCTTCATGTGATAGCCCACTAACACTTGCTTTTTTTTGGATTTGAGTTTCATCAGATGGTTGACCTTACACTTACTTTATTATACACAGGCTTCCCATGATGGGTGATCATAAAGCACTGATCACAGTCTAGAGAGATGGTTGTGTTGTGGAAGGATTCCTTGGGATGCTTCAGATGAAAGTACAAGTCTGTTACTCCACCTTCAAATATACTTCTGAAGTAGCGAGGAATGAGAGTACGGCCTATTGCTGGAAAAACAGAGCAAGATTTTTTATTTCACAAAATGAATATTTAGATAGAACATCCTACAATTGGCTGAAGAGAAGGAGTACATTTTTTTTTTAAACACCATATAGAACAAGGAAGTTTCACATGTGAAACATGGTGATTTTGTTAATAAGGCACAGTGTCATATGGTAGATTCATACAATTCTATTTATTTTTTCATTCTATCTTCTCACTTGGTTGCTCTTAAAAAAAACAAAACAACAAAAAACATTAATTTACTTAAAATCATTTTATGTTAGATGATTATACTGGTCTTACTATCACTTTATGAAATGTTCTCTTCTACAAAACAGAGTATTTGTGTAATTATCCCTACCAGAATTAATGTAAAACACTTCATTCAGCATCTACACACTACAGGAAGATTTTGCGTGTTAATACGGAAACCATACTTCAAAGTTCTGCTTTGCATACATCTTGGAAACCTTATACAACATGGTACATTACATGAATTGGATTCAACTTACTGTACCGCTTTGGTCCATCTTCCAAACAGAAAGTCAGTGTTAGCGTTGCATCATCTTCAAAGAATTCTGTGGCAAACGTATCCCACCACAGATTGTCACTATCCTGTTAAAATAAACTGAAGCTTGTATAAAATGATGCAAAGGTCAACTGATTCATAAAAAAAAAAAAAAGTTAATAAATAAACAAGCACATAAATGACTGCTCACTTCTGAACTACATCAAAATAAAATACTGGAACAATAAAAAAAAAAATCTTTCTAGACTCGTTGGTAAAACTTTCTTTTTAAGGGTTGTCTCAGGCTACTCACTGTTTGGGATTTTTTTGTGTGTTATGTAGTAGTATACTGGTGTCAGTTTAAGCACTGTTATTGATTTGGTAGTTATAAACTAACTATCAAATCTAGAGTTAGTAAGGGACTAATCACGTTTTTATTAAAAAGTAAAATTATTGTATTTAATCCATTTTTTTAAATGCCATTAATTTCTGAACAACACAAGCAATATAGAAAGATGAGAAAAAAAAAGAACACTAAACATAATTAATATCATTTACCAAACTAACTAGAAAAATGTAGTCATAAAAACTTGTACTGACCATAATGCAGATTTTATAATATTTCCAATTACAACTATTTTTGATCATTAGAACCACAAGTTTTGATAAGTAAGTTCCACTAATCAACGAGCTCTGAAAGCACTAATAAGATGCGAGAAAGATCACAGCACAACATCCAGAAAACAATAGACCATTTGATCTTTTAAGATTGTTCTTGCACACCCACCCCCTGAGAATAATAATAATTTAAACCCACCCTTCATTTTTCAAGAAATCAGATTTCCTACTTAAACCTGTAAAATGATAACCTCCATTACATCCGATGGTAATTTATTCCATAAATCACTCACTACATTAGAGAGAGAGCGAGAAAAAAAAATCAACTGAAGATTGCATCTTTTCAAAATCTTAAATTTGTATCCTATTGCATTCAGAGTATAAAGAAATCAGTGAGTTTTATCTATTTATCCCCATATATTCTTGCAAACTTCAATAAGATCACCTCTTAACCTTCTTTTTCAGGGGGGGGATCAAGAGATCTCATCCTATCCCTATGAGATAACCCTTCAATCACTGGAATCATCCTAATAGCCTTCCCCTGAACTATTTCAACTTAGTCAATATCCTTTCTTTGATAAGGAGGTCAAAATTTACAAAGTATTGAAAGTGTACCCTAACTAACCAGTTCTATTAGGGAGATGATAATCTGTTTTGTCTATAAATACTTCCTAAAATTTTATTAATTTTACTGCTAGAAACAGAGTGATGTCTCAATGGTTTGAGTGATTCGTGTACTATGTCAAAGTCCTCGTCTTAAAACATGTCACCAAGTGGGTTCCATCTATTTTTGCACTTAATACAGCTAAAGACCATTTGCCAAATATCTGTCCAAAAATAACCACCCGATTCAAGTTATTCTGTAGTACTTAAACATCCCCAATACAGGTAGAAATACCAGAGGTATAAGCATGTCAGTTTTGAATATTCTAATAAATATTCATTCATTAAAAGTATCAAGAAAAAAAAAATCCTTTACCCTTTCCTAGATACACTTGCAATGAAAGTGTTCTTAAGTAGACTTTAACACGAGTCTTCAAGGACTGACACAACTTAGAAATATAAATTTCATAACAGATGATATAACTATTGTTTCAATATTACACAATTACTTGCCCAACAGTTTCCAAACCCAACAACAACATACAAGTTCTCAAACGGTATTAGCAGCAGGTTACCAGATATATAGGTAAGCCTATTTGGAATGATTTCCAATTTTCCTGAGTTTCAGAAACTAGTAACTGTTACAACAAAACTACTCTTGTGATCATCATGTTTACCGGAGATATAGGTAACCCCTACTGGAAATGTCTTCCAGTTCTCCTGGGTTTCAGAAATGTGTAATTGTGTTAGAACAGGACACATTCAAAAGTCACAAACAATGAGTAATGGCAAATAAATAACATTTTGTACCATTATTATTATTATTGAAAATACAAACAGAAGTAAACAAGTTGTGCAATGCTACTATTTTGTATGCAAGCCCTTTGCTGTACACAGAGCATTACATCTTTTATGTTACCATACAGTTTATCAATGTACAATTGTTGAATATTATTCCTAATGTCCTGTATTACTCCACAGAATTCAGCCAATTTCTTTGGTCACCTTTAGACTCTTAGTTTTTACATAAGCCCATACAGTTTCAAGACTATCCATGTTGTGCCCTTATTCAGGTCAATTGGACAAGCCATAATTGGGTTTCATCTGCCTCTTTACCATCAAGATCTGGTTTCACCACATTTGTTGTATGTTTGGGATCACAAAGTTTCTGTAAAATGAATACCCATCTATTCAGTTGCATTCCTGCAAGAATGGCATAATGGATCCGAAATCTGCCTAAACTTGTAGGAAGTAAGGGTGACAGATTTTGTGAACATCATATACACCAATGGATAAGACACAGCTCCAAATTTGTACCAATTCCCAGCCATGCTTCACTATCATTGATAAACAATTCTAATTGAATTCACTTGTAAAAGAACACACATTTCAACTTTTGGTTTTATTACCAAGGCTCAGCAGAATACATCCACTGACAATTTTTTTTTTTTGCTGATGTACATCTCACTATACAGGGAACATCCACTTACATCAAGTTTGTTGACAATATCTGTACTCAACTACTGCCTACCTCCAATAGAACAACCTGAAATGCTTAACATCACATCTGGAGTTTTGCTTTTGTAGCCTCACCACTTATATTATTAACAGTACCTGTTACATGTACCTTCTTCAGTTTTGCACACAGCTCCTGTTACAACATAGAGTATTGTTAACTTTCTGTGTGAAGTACCCTTGACTAGCCAAACCTTATTTCTACAAGCTTGTTAAGCATTATTTTAACGAGGATGGATAATAGTCCGATTACGACTTCAGTCCCAATTTCTTAACATCTCGAGGTTAGTGTTATACGGAATATATCAATTACACAGATAATGAAATCAAACACAAGCTTAGCACTAAATGCTGGTACCTAGTTTGAGTTAGGCAAGTTATTAGGATATACTTATTTTTAAAAACTTGTATTCTTTTGGTGCAGAAGAATAGATGGGGGGGGGGGCTCATGTCAAGGTGTTCAAAGAGTCAGAAGTTTGGACATTACTTTTGCATTTTCTGTTACAGTGGTGGAACAAAATAATTCAAAATATAAATTTGAACATTATGGCTAATAAACTTGAGTTTTGAAAGCCTACAAGTACGTTGAAACTTGTCCCTTGACAAATATCTATTTTTGATTTAGTTATAAATGTTTAGAATGGTTTACCCAATTACCTAATATTTAGTGTTAGTTTACATTCTTTTAGTATTATTGGATAGGCAGGTGGATATGAACACTTATACAGACTCAAAATTTAGAGGTGACTGACCTGACCACATGAACTGAGGGGGGGGTCTTCTGCCACCTTGCTCTTTTTTTGAATTATTATTATTATTATTAAAAACAAAAGTAGAAAACAATAAACTTTGTTATTAAATACAGTACTACTTACGCACGCATCTTACGATACCTTGCAGAAATTAAACTTTTAATTAACTTTTACAATACCTATCATGATCAACTGTTAAGGTAAATGGCGTGTTTAGAAGTACAATTTATCCGTTAAAACTCAAATTGAGAACATTATAAAACAGGAAATGTTAACACTTCAGAATATATTTTGAATACAAAACAGGTTTACCGATAATATATGAAAAGTTTTATATAAACACAGTGTGATTCTGATAGCAAGTTAAAAAAGATATATCATAATTGAGAAACAGATATAAAGGAACTTTACATGCATAAATTGTTAACACTATAATTTATTACGTTGAAAGTAATCAGTTAACAAGTCACCTCAGTATCAAAAACAATTCAAACAGACATCTAACCTAATAGCATAGGAATAATTAGCATAAATCCAACAGAATGAGCCACTGCTGTCTTGTTATCATTAATATATAATATTGGTAGTAAATTAACTTGTTCAAACAATGGTTATTCACTTGCTTACAAATGCATTTTATACTTCAATCTATATTAACTGCAGGAACTCTTTAAAAAAAAACTAACACAGAATATTTGGGCAATTTAGACATTAGATGTCGGTACATATATATCGTACGCAATTACTCAGAATTAGATAGTTAATAGTATTCTAATCAATAATTTAGTGGTTTTGTGAGGTGTAGAACTTTTAAAAATACTTACTTCAGTTCGTAGTTGTAGTCTCTTATTCATTTCATATATTCTATAATCTGGCTGTCCAAAATATGGAGTGTGTCGCCTGAAATACGAAGAAAATGGTGAAGAATAAAAAGGGTCACCAGGTGGACCCTCTGACAGTGGCTGATTGAACATAGGCTTCATTGGTTTTGAATATCCACAGGTTACAGAAGGTTTGGTCTCAACAGTATGGTAAGAAAATGATTCAAAACAACATATTTCAGAGAATCAACTTTGAGTTTGATGTACAGTTTAACTAAATCAAATGATTACGATTTCCTGTTGACCTCGTTCTTCGTTTTTTTTTTTTTTATATATATAAATATAAAAAAAATTATCAAATGTCGAAAACGTAAAAGTTTTCCAAACTTTTTTTGACAACTTCTGTTCTTTTTCTTATAATTTTATGACGAAAGGGAATGAACATTTTGTGTCACAATCTACTTTAAATTATGTACTTAAGCTCCACTGAATTTAACTTGAAAGTTAAAACTTTAACAGTACCATCATTCCACAACGCTCTGCTACAACACAACAACTCGTCGTACGCACCGCACCGTATGATTAGGACCGTTTTGAAAAATCTAACAGGTCACGTAACTATAAGAAGAAAGTGAAATTGGTTACAATTTAAACTTTAAAACAGAAAGCTAGCATTCCGTACGATTTTCGATACTTCAAAATAATACCACACACGATATCACTATCAAGTCTTCGCGACTACGCCGATTGGCTTAGAAATATAGTTTTATTCATCTCGAGAGTGAAGACGGAAAATGGAATGCTGATACAAGGTTTGTTCTAAAATAGGCCTTAGTCAAGACACTGCACATTTCGCGTTCGAAGCAGTCTAATAACACACTTTCCAACCTTACTACACCTGACGGATTCTAGTTCTAGCGCGTGCTTGGCCTGGCGTAGTAACAGTAGGACTATACATGGGCTGATGGGATGAACCATTTTGTCAGTGAAAAGGGAGGGGAATTAAAACTAGTTGTTCTTTGCTAATAAACGTTGCCCGAAAAATATTAGACACAGTGACATTTTTTACAGTTGTACGAAAATCTACATAACGAAAACATCACGCCATTAATAAGATTTATAGGATGAAGCGTATGATTAACTCGGTATATAATTTCCATCTCAAATATTGATTTTATAAACGCTACAAAAACAATTAGTTATTCAGTGAAAACCATGACGTGCACATGTATGCTAATCTTTAAAATGACCTTGACCTTTAAGTAGGGTTCTGTAAGTTACTGTTGATTCTATTGAGTTTCTACTGATTATTTACATTTAGGGAATATACAGATCAAGTCCAATAATCAATATGACATAAAAATTTAGTGCAGAACAGTTCACATGTATTTATACACATCAAATAATCCAACAAAAGTGAACCTCCCTTTTATTATTGAAATGAAGCATTTAAACAGTTAATCTGTAAGTGAGTATGTTAATACTGAAATCTAACGCAGTTTTTACTTTTAATCTTGAAACAAAACCTACATAGCAAAAATTACATATTAATATCTGACTTACACAATCAGTAATTTGTCTGTAATTAAGGGTAAAGCTACACAATGAGCTATCTGCTGCTGTGCCCACCACGGGTATCAAAGCCCGGTTTTTAGCATTATAAGCCTTCAGACATACCGCTGCGTAACTAGGGGTACAATCAGTAATTTGTTTGTTTGTTTGTAATTAAGGGTAAAGCTACACAATGAGCTATCTGCTGCTGTGCCCAACACGGGTATCAAAGCCCGGTTTTTAGCATTATAAGCCTTCAGACTTACCGCTGTGTCATTAGGGGGCACAATCAGTAATTTAATCGTGACATCTGACAAAGGAAGCTAGTTATTCCATACTGAAATGTTACCTCTGTAGTCAGTTGTTTAATAATGATATCCGACACACATGGTTATTAATTTTGACATTTGATCTACGTAGTCAGTAATTCAACCTTAATGTATTCAATAAGTAACTTAATCTTAAAGTCAGAAATGTATTGAACGACGTCCTGTCCAAGAAAAGGGGTATTAGTATTTACATGTATCACACGTGGATTGTAGTTGATGGCTTTTAGTGGAAAGTTACACTGCAGGAATAGAATCCCGTATTTAAATATCGTAAATTTGTAAACTTATCGCTGATGCACCGGGGAACAAAAACACGGATGGGGGTAGTCAGAACAGTGTATTATATTTTTTGGAGAAATATATTGTGTTAAATTTGGTACCAAATGTGTGGTTGTTTTGAAACACACAAAAGTTGAGATCAGTGGGGTACGTACAAGGTTCCAACCTGACCCAACACATAAAAAAAGATATACTTACGAGATATATGAAAGTTGTTTTTTTGCCCAGGGGTCCGTTTTACGATACCCAATCTCAACTTACTATATACATAAAATTAACATTTTTGGGACCCAAGGGTGTTGTGAAAGATCCACATGTAAAAAAGGTCGGCTACGCAATCTTTGAGACCCCTCACGAGTCAACAACTAAAGGCCCCTCTCCACACCATAATATTACGAGAAAAGGGGTGGGAAACAGTTCATAAAGTTACCACTGGCCCACCGAGGGATGAAGAAGGTAATATTTATTATTATCTATAATTTAGTGTATTATTTTATTTATGTAACATTAGTAGAATCGAACTGTTGGGAAGGGGGAAAATATTCTTTTTCCAGGGCTTTCATAGGCCCACGTACACCACTGGGTCAGATACACAGCCATATCTCATTTCAGTATGGTAATGATGATATAAAATCTGTTAACTTCGCACACACAACAGTCAACACCACTCATGTAGAAAACCTCTTTCGAGGCTAGCTTTCAATTTAAAATTTCAATAAATAAGCACGTGTTATAACTACTATGAGTAACAGGTGGTTCAGAAAGTTCACTTGCTCTTCTAACCAGTGTATGGTTAGATAACCCTGGCTAGACACAGGACGTGTACTTCCTACACGAGGAAAAGGGTGACGTGTCGGAAGGTGTTATGCGAACAGTCCAGGAAATAAGTAAAAAAAAATACTGTATCATTGTGATTATTTCAATGTGAAGGACAGGTCGTTCTCATCAGGAGATGTGGTTCTCTTTCACCGTTCGATACTAAAAAAATAATGCTCTAACACGTGGACGTCATTAATAGTCTACTTATAAGCAGTGGCGTATCTAGGAATTTGAATGGGGGGGGGGTTTATATCATATTGCATATAATTTCTATTATTTTATAATATTAAACTTTACTATTTCCTGTAGTAAAATAAAATAGTAAGTACGAAA